TTCTTTCTCAACGTCTCTTTTTTTCTTTTCCTTTACTACCCTTTTTTTTTTTTTTTTGGAAACATATTCTACCCTTTCTTTTTGTTATCGGTTTACATTGAATTTTGCATTTTTTGTGAACTCAATTGTTATTCCTACAACGTGACTTTATTAACTGTGGTCTTCCATTTTAAGTTTAGCTCAATTTTATTCAACTTTTTTAAACTTACTTTGTTTTCCGTAAATAAATTTAAATAAGTTTGGAAATTCTAATAAGATAAAATTTGATGATATCGAGACAAATCTAGCTAACTGAATTCCATATGACTATTATTAATATTTAATTCCTTACGTATTAATTATAAAAGATGGTCAAAGAAAATTAAATAAATAGTGTAAAAATCTAAATGGTACAATTAAAGTATAGTAAAAAAATATATATATAAATCAAATAAGATTAATTTCACCTAATCAGTTATATTTAAAGTATATTCACAATAATACAGAGTATTTCATAATAAAACTATAAAAGTAGAATTTATCCACAAGATCATATAAAACCATCTCCAATGTTGAGACTTGAAGGAATTTTTTTAGAAGAGAGAGTTTTCTAAACTTAGCGATGGAAATGGTTTGAAAGTCACAGCTCACAGCATTGCAATTTGAAGAACACAAGAAAGTAAACGAGTATAACCTAAATTTTATATTATCTACAAATTTCACATTTTCCAAAATTTCCACCATAACTTTATTACTTCTCTTTTTTTGTTTGTTGGCAATACATACTTTACCATTTAAATTTAAAAATTCTCTCACACTCTCTTGTTGTACACACTTCCCCTTTTCCAAGGGCAGCATGGAGATTTCCGTTGCCAGCCAATACAGCCATGGGGACCCACGACGCGTATCTATGAAGCTGTAACCTTATGTAATTTCGTCCTTTCCCATACTCCAACGCTTTTAATTTATTAAACCCTCCTTTTATTTGTGTCTTTTTCTGACCTCCTTTCTTTTATCTCATCCAAAATCGACCTATATAAACCCCCCTCACTCCTTTCTCATTTCACTCATCCCACTCCTCACTTCCCATTTTCAAACACTTTAAAAACAAAAACCAAACTTTTAAACAAGTCCATAAATTTAAAAAAAATGGCCTCAACTACTCAAAAATTCCTTCCAATCCTGGTCATTTTCTCACTCCTCCACATCATTTCCGCCGCAAGAAACACCCTCCACGAGCAACAACCAATAGTTGATGACCCCTCAAACACGATGCTCCTCCAATACCACCGCGGCCCACTCCTCTCGGGCAAAATCTCCGTCAACCTAATCTGGTACGGAAAATTCACCCCTTCTCAAAAGGCCATTGTATCCGATTTCATTACTTCCCTATCTTCCACCAAAAACCATAAAACCAGCAACAACCCATCCGTTGCCACGTGGTGGAACTCTATTGGCAAATATTACCACCTCGCAAACAAAAAAACCTCTTCACTTTCCCTCACTTTAGGAAAACAAATCAACGACGAATCCTACTCACTTGGTAAATCCCTCACCAACAAACACCTAACCGAACTCGCTTCAAAAGGCGCGCAATCCAACGCAGTCAACGTAGTGTTGACTTCATCCGACGTGGCAGTCGCCGGGTTCTGCTCAAGCAGATGCGGGACCCACGGCTCAGCCAGTTCCAAAATGGGCCGAAAACACAGCAAGTTTGCTTACATCTGGGTTGGAAACTCGGAGGCCCAATGCCCGGGTCACTGCGCTTGGCCATTCCACCAGCCCATTTACGGCCCACAAAGTAGCCCATTAATTGCGCCCAACAACGATGTGGGCCTAGATGGGATGATAATTAACCTGGCCTCATTGATGGCTGCAACGGTGACTAACCCGTTTGGAAACGGGTTTTACCAAGGCCCAAAAGAAGCTCCACTTGAAGTGGCATCAGCTTGTCCTGGGGTTTACGGAAAAGGAGCTTACCCGGGGTATGCTGGTAATTTACTAATGGATAAAACAAGTGGTGCGAGTTATAATGCAAATGGGGTTAATGGAAGGAAGTATTTGTTGCCTGCTTTGTATGATCCTTCTACTTCCACTTGCTCTACTTTGGTGTAGGAAAAAAAAAATTTAAGGTAGAAAAAAAGAAAAAGACAAATGTAATATTGAGAGTAGTGAGGTAGTAGAATTACTAATTCATTGATTCATTTTGTTTAATTTGTTTCGCATTTGCGATTTTATTAATAATATTTTATTAGCAAATGGTTTAATTTGCTGTTACACAAAAGAAATTTGTCTGTTTTATTTTGTCCTGAATTATTTAGTACTGGTATTTTTTTAGTTGTTGTTGGTACTTAATTAATTGTGAGTACTGAGAAGTCGGTAAAAATGCCACTGGTTTGCCAGCTTTACTTTGGAGTTTGGAATTTATAATAATTGATAAAGTATGACCACCTTGAATTAATCAAGTCATGATTTTTTTAAAAAAGGTAAAAAAATTGTGTTTTTGTAAGCTGTAAAATTTCCAAGTGGAGGTGAAATGAACGGATATATATAATCATTCAATGGGTAACATAAAGGTCATTTGAATTTTGTTAAAGATCGCACATATGACACATATCACACGTTACATACTTACATGTATAATGTGTGTTTAAACGCAGAAAGTTATACATCGAAATAGAAATGTTCACCAATAAGGGCAATAACTCAATAACTGGTGTAAAGTTATGAATTTTCCTTCATTCCAATTTGTATAATAGGCTAATGTATATAATTTTAAGCTTATGTTAATGCTTATGCTAATGATACTTCGGAAGAAAGTAATTCATATATTATACTATTAATTTCTATATACTATGGACTTACGGAGTATTACTTACTACTTCTCGTATTAGTAGTATTAGGTATAACTAAAACACTTCTTTAGTAATGTATATTTCAAATTTCAATATCATGGATATAATAATCAATCAATTCCTTACAAAGACATGAAAACCAAATATACATAAATTAACCTCCTATACATGAGTAAGAATTTACCACCTGTGAAGCACGAACACGCCATCCAGCAGCCGTGTCCGAGTCGACACGCGTGTCCGACACCGACACGAGTGGGACACGCTACGATACGTGTCCGACACTCCAAAATCCGTGTCCCAATTTTTTTTTAAAAAAAAATACTCCATGGACACGGACCGTATCTCCCTTTGACACGGCCCGTTTTAACTTGGACACGCCATTTCTATTCCAGCCCAACTCCCTCAAAGTTTCATTGTCTCAAACCCTACTGCTTTCCTTTCAATCTTCTCTATCTCTCGTCACTCTCAAACACACCTCAACGGCTCAACCCAAATCGCCGCCGACTGAACATTGCCTGACCGTCGTCACTGTCGGCCACCGCCCACCGTCGCTCGTCGCTCGTCGCAAGTCTCTATTCCTCAGTCATCACGAAACCCCCTTTAATACTCTATTCCTTCGCCGACTCGCCGTCACTCGTCGCTCGTCGCCACCGTCCAGGCGTCCACTCTCGCTCGTCGGCCGCCGGTGCTCTCAGCCTTCTCAGGTAATCCTCTCAATCTCTCATTCTCGTTTTAAACTTTTAATTTGATTTCATTCCTTCACGATTTTGCTTAAATTGGCTATTCAAAAAAAAAAAAAAAGTAACTACTCAATCAGTTTGTATAAATCAGTTTGTATCGCGATTTTGCTTGAAAATTTTAATTAGTATAACTCAGTTTATGTTGCCACTTGTTTAATTTGATTTGATATGAGATGTTTGGGATTTGGATTGAAGAACAACAATTTGCAAGAATGTCTTCTAGTATTGTACATGTGCACTGTGTAATTTGATTGTGTTGTTTGAGTTGAACTGGAAAGGTTTGATTTGCTGAAAATGTGTGTTTTACTTTGTTTAAACAAATTTGTGTGTTTTGAGGCTAAATTTTTAGTGTTTTATTGAACAGGTTGTCAAATTCTCGTTTTTTGGATATATTATATGTCTTGATATACGCCGTACCCGTGTCCCCTATTTCAGGATTGCCGTTTTCCCGTGTCCGTATCGTGTCCATGTCCGTGTCCGTATCCGTTTCCGTGCAACATAGTTTACCACTATTACATGAGCAGATGAGTTATTGTCTTTAGTTTTATTTTTTATTGAAATGTAATACACATAGGAATACCTCAAGAAATTAAGATGAGCTTGGATAATACAATGGTCAATTTGGTCATGTGGTTAGATTAGGTAGTGACATCTAGAGTTATTAATAAGCTCCAACATTCATCCCGTTTTGTGGCCATTATGTTCATGCATCCACCGAAAGTATTACTATTCCCTAACGCTCCTTCTTCCTTAAGATTCTCCACATTATTATAGACATCAAGACATGCAACGGCTAATCAATTGTTTGGAATGCTTTTATTCTTTAAATTTTTTTTAGCAAGGATCTATTTGGATTTTGGAATGTTGGCAATCTTGCCAAGTCATTCTTGTATCCTTGTCCTTAAATTATTGCAATATTTAATTTTTGGCCCATATCTTTAAATTTTAAATACTACAAGTAAAATAGTACTCCTTACTTCCTTAGCTAGGAAGAAAAAATGGGGAATATGAACAAGCAAAATATACAAAGTACACACTACAGTATATGATTGAAAATATTAGCGTTCTACTCCCCATGTCCTTTATTTTTTTGCCCCATTTGACTTTTTTACGGTCTTCAAGATACATATTCAAACGCATATATCTCCATTTCTATACGGGTAAAAAAATATAAAAATTTAATATTAATAAACTATACAATAAGAGAATTCTAACAAGATTCCATGTGAATATATTATCACTTATAGATCAACGAATATTCATGGTCAAAGTTTTAAAAGTTTGACTCATATTTTTGCAGTGGGGCAAAAATTAAGGGACGAAGGAAGTAATAAATTATGGTAATATCATTTCCATTAACCTAAAAAATGGAGAGATTATGTAAAACTTAAAACTTTAAAAGCCATCAAAAAATTGATGTCGACTCCAGAAATTGTTCCCATCTCAGGGTCCGTTATCTGCCGCATTTCATTTGTCCTCTACTTACCTCCCTTAGTTGTTCCGCCGCTGTATCTTCTCTTTACTACGCTATTCAATTCAAAAACGCATTTTTTCCAACTGTGACCAACTACTATTACATTCATCACCAAAGGCGTCACTACCATATTCCATGCTACCTCCTTTATTACTCCCTCAAAATATTACACCCCTATATAAACCCCATCTTCCTTTCTTTTACTCATCACTCACTCTTCCACCTAAATTTACTACATTCTTCATTTCACATTCCCAAACACCCACACCCTTAGCTACGCAATTATTGATAGAGTATATAAATCGATCCTAAGTTTCAACCGTTAGCTTAAGTTTTTGATTGAGTTGATCCATTAACAATTGCTTCTAAATTAAAATTAAACATGGCTAAACTCTACTTATTGCTAGTAGTTTTGTTCTACTTGGTCAGCCACATTCTAGCAGCGAGTCAACCCACTGACTTGACTCACTCAACTCAAAACGAGATGTTATTCCAATACCACAATGGCCCTCTCCTAAGCGGAAAAATCTCTGTTAATCTTATATGGTACGGCAAATTTACCCCTACTCAAAGAGCCATTATTACAGATTTCATTACCTCCTTATCATCTTCCTCTTCCTCCAAAACCGCCCAACCATCCGTCGCCACGTGGTGGAAAGGGACCCACAAATACTACAACCTCTTACGTCATCATTCTTCTTCCTCACTCTCTCTTACCATGGGTGCGCATATATCCGATCAGCGATACTCTTTGGGGAAGTCACTTACCAGCCGTCAGATCCTCCAGCTGGCATCACGCGGTGGTCAAAGTTACGCAGTCAACGTTGTGTTGACTTCTGATGACGTGGCAGTTGATGGGTTTTGTAGGAGCAGATGTGGGACCCACGGGTTTTCCTCAAATGTTGCTCATTTAAGAGGAGGGAAGAATGAGAAGTTTACTTACATTTGGGTTGGAAACTCGGAGACTCAGTGTCCGGGTCATTGTGCTTGGCCTTTTCATCAGCCCATTTACGGCCCACAAAGCCCACCATTGGTTGCGCCCAACAATGATGTGGGCCTTGATGGGATGGTTATGAACTTGGCTAGCTTGTTGGCTGCGACTGTGACTAACCCGTTTGGAAATGGGTACTACCAAGGTCCGAAAGAGGCTCCGCTTGAAGCCGCATCCGCTTGCCCCGGGGTTTATGGTAAAGGGGCGTACCCGGGTTATGCCGGGGATTTGTTAGTGGATCCAACAAATGGGGCAAGTTATAATGCCAATGGTCTGAATGGGAGGAAGTATTTGCTTCCCGCGCTATTTGACCCATCTACATCTTCGTGTTCTACTTTGGTTTAAATTTAATTTAATGGGACATCAAATGTTATGTACGTATAGAGTTAAGTAGTACTCCTTAGGCCTACATTATTTTATTCAATCTCATTATTCATTTTGTGTAATGAAGTATTCTTTGATATTCTTAATCAATCGTATATCATTCTTTATTTATTAATTGTATTGCACTTTTAATAATTGGGTTTTTTCACGTAGTCAAGCAAACAAAATTATGATACGTACTATGCAGATGACAAACAATTTTAATTTAACTAACTTTAGAAAGCAAGTATAAAAACCTTATGGAAATGGATAGTGTATTAGCCAAAATAAACCAATCACTATTGAATGGATTATTGATTTTACTAAACGTATTTATACCAATCAAGTTAAAAATGAATAATATACGGTTATTATGGATAGAAATCGAAACTCGAAGCTAGGTAAAGCTAGCACTCTTTAATACTACATTTGTTTTGCTATATATCAATAACATTTGTAATCACATATAAGTATAAATTAACAAATATGTGATTGTCTTAATACTTCGTAAAATTCATTTATCACATATAAGTATAAATTAACAAATATGTGATTGTCTTAATACTTCGTAAAATTCATTGACAGCCTGAGGTAATTACACCAAACAAGATCAACATTGGTACAAGTGTTATTTTGATGTTTGTATGTATGAGTGATAATATTCAATTAATGATTTCACCACTTAACCTTAAGAGGTAAATCATTTTTGTGAATTAAAGGATTACAAAGCAACTAATCAACCAGTGATATGTTGAAGTGAGAATCAAATATGAACATTGTTTACTCCTCTCTACAAGCAAAGGAGATGGATAACAATTGGTTTAATTTAGGGTGCACTAAGACCTTGTTAATCTCATTTGATTTTTTATGAGATTATATTATTTGAACTTAGTGTTATATTGTTTGAATTTATATAATTATATCTAGAGTTATTTTATTCATTTAAACTTATACTGCTGCTATTATTAAATGGAGTTGGACTAGATGGAATTGAATGAAATCCTTTCATAATAATTTCTTCATTTTAGTAATATTGCAACAATTGAACTTTTTTTTTACCTTCGGCGTCCGTCCCTTATTTTTGCCTCATTCAATTTTTTGCACCGGGGGAATATACGCCTTAAAACATAAATATCTTCACTTTTTGTACATATTTTTTTAAAAAAATTTGACATTTTCAAATAGACTTTTTAAGTTTATAACGAGTCTAACATGATCTTTCTTGAATATATTATTTCTTATTAGTGAGGATTTGCAGTCTAAGTTTTTATATTTCAACCTAAAAAAATACAACAATGGGGCAAAAAAAAAAAAAAAAAACTACTCCCATGTAAAAGAATATAAAAAGATCTCCGTGTCAAAAAAAAAAGTGATGCAATTAAAAAAAAAAAGACCCATTTTAAAGAGTGTTTTCAACTTTTAACCAAAATAAAAAGAGTCCATAATAAATTTTGTTAGAGGTTCATGAGAATATTGACGAGAGAGAAGCCCAAAGGTGTATTTTTCCGAAGCATTGAAATTTGAAACAGAAGAAGATGACTATCCTGGAATGCCGGAAGAGTGGGTTATGCTTTTTCGCAGAAACAATTTCTCATTTGGATCATCTTCAGATCACCCTTTTCAGCTAACTCCATTATCATCTTTTGCTGATTACACTTCTTTAAATTTCCTTCCTTTTTTTTTCTTCATGATTTTAGTATTTGATTTTCCTTAATTTGGCCGCATAATTTATTTAATTTGTCTCTGGAATAAAGGTTGCAGATTTTACAAATATAAGCCCAAATTATCGATACAACAGTGAAAAAATTGTTGAATTATATTATCTTTACTGCTAATTTTGGTTATTCTGACTCTGAATTCTGAAATAATACAAGTATGAAGTAATGATTAGATAACAATTTGATGCCTTTTTCACTGAATTTGATTTAATTTCAAGTAATTGGCACTATTTGATTTTCGGGGAAAAGTTTAAATAGAATACTGAAGTTGCAACAGTAAATTACTCTACCACATTTATGAGAAAATTGGTTAATTTTCTTATTGTACGGAATGAAAGAGTTTCAGATTATAAGGGATCGAAATTCAAAATGTGGTTAATATTATACAGTAAGACTTATGAACTTAATGACTCCACCTTGATTTGTTATTTAATTTATATACTGTAATTTTTATATGTTTATATGATAGGGTGATGGATGTCAAAAGAGAGTCCAATATAATTATGAATGATGGACTTATATTTTGTTGCTTATATTATTTTGCTTTGGAAGTTGCTTAGGTCAAAATACAAAATTTGCTGCTATAGTTAGCTTTGGAAGTTGCTTAGCCAAAATAATTGTGAAGAATGTTGGTAAGATGGCTTGCTTTGAACACTTGTAGCAGCGCAGGGTCAACAAAGTACATCAAGAATACAATATTATAAGCGTGGCCGTGGGCAAGATAATAGCTGGACTTAAGTATGTGGAAACTTCATGCTTGACCTCACTGGTGAGTGTATACTCGTAGTTTATTATTGCCTACCTCTAGAATGTGCACGGTTTCTATGACTTTTGTGGTTAAAGTGAATTTGATCAGCGATTAGCTAATAGTGTTAAGCATAGTTTTTATAATTAGATGGCTCTTCCTCTGTTTTTGCTACATTAATTAATGTGAAAAAGGCTTATAGGTGAATTTGTGCTAGTCATCTTGAAAACCTTGATTGATTGTCACATCGTGTCGATTAACAGATATCTCAATACACGTTATACAATGATAGGAGTAATATCTAAACGAGGGAATTGGAACTTTTTATGCTTTGGAACTTCAAGGCTTGTTAGGGGTAGGTACTGATTAATTCCTGATCTTTGAGATTGGGATTACATCAAACGAACTAAGAGCAGATGTTGCATATTTACTTAAACTAAATTTTCTTCATTGCATTAATTAGGGCAAAAGCAGTCAAACTCATTGGCCGTAATCATCCACTGGTGGGATCTTCAACAGTCATATAGACCCCCCAAACTTGCCAATGATAATGTAGACTTACCCTTAAACATTGTATAATGATCAAATTTGTACCAAATTGCACGGTCTAGCTGACTTAAAACATATCCCTAAAGACAAGGATAATTAATATAATAGTACTATGATTTATGAACTTTATCTCCTTTGGCTGCTTTCTTAACGAATCAATGTCAAACTTTCTTTGCTTGTCATTAATGAAGTAGCTAGTTTGTCCATCTTAATGAATAATAAACATGACTGTTCTGCCAAAGATTCAAAAGAAATAGTTCATGTAAGGCAAGTGGATGTGTTCCCAATGATTAGTCTTAAGATTTTTGTATCGACTAGATTATTACTTTATGACCGAATAGTTTCATCTTGAGATTACAAGACATTGGTATCATCCAAATAGTTTCATCTTGAGATTACAAAACATTGGTATCATCCAAATAGTTATAGTCATTTCATAGGCATTGTATTAGGAGAGTTACGTTAAATCCCATAAAATATAAATTTTCATGGAAATTTAATTTCTATGTGAACCAAATAAGCACTGTGTAAGATTGTACAGTATATGGTAGGAGACACTAATCTTTTTGTCGCAACTTATGAGTTTTAGACTCTTTCATGGATGTTTTGCTTCTTAAGTAGAGGTGTCACATGGTGTCATTTAGATCAAGATTGGGTTGTTAGTCTTTTGGTTGATATTAGGCCTGGTTTGGGTCTATTATAAATTTTTAATTATGTTAATACTCAATCAACATTAATTATATAAAATTTTGAGCTCCATCGATTCAAGTCGGACATATTGGTTAGAGTTAAAACTGTGTCACCTGTGTTCGGGTAGGTATTACCGTATTAGCCTATTATGTCGGTCAAGCTGGCTGTTTTGGCTCTTAACAATCGGGTAGGGAGGTAGGCTAAGTTTTTGCAAGCTTTTTATTTTTATTCTTTAAGGGATGTGTTCAATGCACCTGAATTTGACTTGATTGAACTTGTATTGCCTTTTAAACTTATCATAACTTTGAAATTATAGGAAAATTTTCTAAAATATGTTATGTCAAGTTGAATCTAGACATAACCTTAATTTTATAAATTGAATGCATAAGATGATCAAGTTTGGTTGTTTGGGTCTCCTAAATACTTTAAAATTTCCATTCTTGTAAATCAATGTGGTATATCTAGCTAGCTCAGAAACTTGGTTAACTAAAAATTTACTCCCAATTTATGGTGACAATTTTTGAAATTTGTAGTGTATAAATGTGTAATCCCATTGATCTTTCTAAATTTTTGGCCTTTATTGCACCCAAATTTATTTGTCATTCTATAAAGTTTACTTCAGCAAAGTGAGGAAACAATTTTCAGCAATTAAGCTGGCACAAACACACGAACTTCTTAGCAAAACCAACTATACAATGAATAATTTAATTATACATCATCTTAAACTGAGGAGTGGAGATCTCTAACAGTGCTAGTATCTTTACATTAGGAAAAAATATCATTATATCTTATAATTTTTCAGACTAAAGTTGAGCAAGAAGAAGTGGTAGGATCATATAAAGCAGGGAGCAAATACTGCCTCTTGCTGATTCCATTTGCATTGTAGCTAGCACCGCTGGTTGGGTTTACCAAGAGGTTCCCAGCATAACCAGGGTAAGCGCCTTTTCCATAGATACCAGGGCAAGCTGAAGCAGCCTCAAGTGGGGCTTCTTTAGGGCCTTGGTAGTACCCATTTCCATAAGGGTTGGTCACGGTTCCTGCCAAAAGGGATGCCAAGCTGATCACCATTCCGTCGAGGCCCACATCGTTGTTAGGTGCAACCAAGGGTGCGCTTTGTGGGCCGTAGATGGGCTGGTGGAAGGGCCATGCACATTGACCCGGGCACTGGGTCTCTGAATTGCCAACCCAAATGTAGGTGAACTTTTGAGTTGTACTTTTGGAAATGTAGGATGATCCATGGGTTCCACATCGGCTCCTGCAGAACCCGTCAACTACCACGTCGGATGCGGTCAATATTACGTTGACTGCATTGACTTGTTGACCGGCTTTGGAGGCAAGCGCTACAAGGTGCTTGTTAGTGAGGGACTTACCAAGGGGGTATGTCTCATCTATGACTTGCTTGCCTAAAGAAAGGGAAAGAGATGTGGTGGATGCCTTGGGATTCGCAAGGTGATTATACTTTCCAATGGATTTCCACCATGTCGAAACTGATGGTTGGGATTCATGTTGGGAGGATGATAGGGAAGTAATAAAGTCAGATACGATGGCACGTTGGATGGGCTTGAAGTTGCCATACCAAATAAGGTTGATTGTAATCTTCCCATTAAGTAGGGAGCCCTTGTGGTATTGGAAGGTCATAGGCTGAGACGACTCAGTGAATGGCCTTGCCTCTACGAAAAAGCCGAAGTGGGTGAGGAAAAGAGCAAGGCATATAATTTTGGGCAAGGATGCCATTGATTGATTGTTAATAGTCTTCATACTACAAAAAAAGGCGTATAGAATTGAGGAAAGAGTGACTTGATTAAGTGTTATGGGATAAAAATGTTGAGTGATGAAGAGAATAGAATGGAAGTGTAGGATATATATAGTGTGCTGAAGTATGGTAAAGGAAATTGCTAGGAAGAAGTATACACGAGTAAAGCGTTGAAATTAGGAATTGGAGCTAATACTACCTACTAACAGCGGCTAAGCTAAACAGTGAACACAATAAAGTAATACCGTGTGTTATTATGTTTGGAGTTGTGGGACAGTAATGATGGGTTCTCTAGATTAAGTTTAAGGGTAGCTTCAACGCAGCTAAAGGTCAACTTTAGGATGCTGCTACGAACACGCTTGTTGCCAAGGTCAAGTTTAAGCTGTGATTCATATACGTGAAAGTTGAAACTAAAGTAAACCGATTTTAATCCAGAACGACATTTGTAAAAACCCAAAACCCGAATTTTAATTTCATTGTTTAATCATTTTAATTAACTTTTATAGCACTTTTTTTCTCCCTTTCTAGTCATCGTTGATGATGTCTTAAGGGTACTTTATACTTGTGATATGCTAATTTTGCATAATTTTACGGTTGTTTGATAGCTAGTTATAAATATCTTAAGTGTAATTTAACCAAGTAATATACTAATATGTTAATATCTATAAATCATAATAAGGCAATTCATCCATAAACTAGTGTTTTTCTTTATCAACATTTATTGTCACCTGATATAGGCAAATACCACTCTAAGTGGTAATGGACGATAGTAAAAATATGTGAAGAAAAAAGAGAAAATTTGGGTTAGCTACCATCTTTTTGGGAATTAACAAATTGACATAGAGTATTCTTAAAAATTACTTCCTCCGTTCTACTCCGTAGTAATATTTGCAACAATTCTCAAATGATCAATAGATGTTAGTCTTTATTTTTTGCACAATAATCTCTCAAGGAAATGTGCTCTGGTTTCTTGTGAATGTTTGACATTCGTTATTCAAGTTAAGAAAGTACGGAGAAGTTATTAGTTTTTGTTGTGTCTTTGGTACATACAATTTTATCAATATAACGAGATTAAGTCCTATATTATACTCATGATTTAAGCTTTGATTTTGTCGAGGGCGCCCCCATCTGTGAGAAACGTTTTTGTTTCTCACAGTGGCAGTTTCGTAAATAAAATGTACCACTTTAGTCAAGGTGGTACATTTTATTTACGAAATGGATGATAAAATTGTACCACTTTAGTCACGGTGATACATTTTATTTACGAAACTGCCACTGTGAGAAAAAAAAATTGTTTCTCGCAGTGAGTAACAGAGACTTACTAGATTTTGTCTTATTGATACTTACAAGTCTAACTGTTAAACTGACCTAAGTTCTATAGTTACATGTTGGATGCATACAAATTTAACATATTCCTCTGCTATGAATATAAACACAGAATTCAGTAATACAATTAAGGACAGTAAAGCAATTAATGAGAATAACAATCTTTCTGTTCACCAATCTGCCACTTAACCAGCAGTTGATTTTCGACTTTATAGTCCATTTTGGCTGTTAATTTTTTTAGCGAACCACTATTTTTGAGCTTTCATTTTGAGAAGCAATAAGGGAAGGTTTGGTTTAGTGAGTCTGAAACTGTTCTTTATACCAAGGCTATGGATTAGAAGAATATGACCATACTCGTCTGCTAATCTCATCACATACCAAAACAGAACAAATTTGTTCTGTGATCATGGCCTCCTTTCAAACGCATAGGATTTAACAGAGTAGATAATGCTGGGATTAAACTGCGGGTCATAGTGATTTTTTTTTTTTTTACAAATTAGAGCTTGAATAAGGTCATTTGTTCATCGTAGTCCACACAAGTGAATTTTCTTAGGAATGACCGAATGAATGTATGTAGGTAGACAAAGGTAACTTTTTATTGCAGTATGTGTAAACCAACGAATACATGGCTATTGTTAAAAATAATACTACGTATGTAACTTGTATTTGTTTCTTCACCCTAGTAGTAATCTGTATGCAATTTTATACTTCTATCTATACATAGTTTTGGCGTATTGCAGAATTGCAGTTGGTTTCTAAACTTCTCAAAGCAGAGTTGAGCAGGATGAGGTCTTGGGATCATACAATGCAGGAAGCAGATACTTCCTCTTGTTGATTCCGTTAGCGTTGTAGCTAGCTCCGGTTGTGGCATCCACCAAAAGGTTGCCGGCATAACCGGGGTAGGCCCCCTTTCCGTAGATTCCTGGACAGGCTGATGCAGCCTCAAGAGGGGCATCCTTTGGGCCTTGGAAATACCCATTCCCATAAGGGTTGGTCACAGTCCCTGCCAAAAGGCTAGCCAAGTTAATGACCATGCCATCCAAGCCAACATCGTTGTTGGGTGCGGTCAATGGCGGGCTCTGTGGGCCGTAGATAGGTTGGTGGAATGGCCAGGCACATTGACCAGGGCACTGTGTCTCCGAGTTACCAACCCATATGTATGGGACCTTCTGAGTGGCTTTTTCGGAGACGCGGTGGGTCCCACACCTGCTTGTGCAGAATCCTTCTACTACTACATCAGCTGCAGTCAACACTACGGTGATGGCATTGGGTTGTTGTGGACCCTTTGCAGCCAAGGCTTCAACCTGCTTGGAGGTGAGGGTTTTGCCAAGGGAGTAAGTGTCGTCGATGACTTGCTTGCCCATGGAGAGGGAGAGTGAGGTTGGCTTCTTAGGATTAGCATGGCCGTAGTATTTGCCAATGGAATTCCACCACATGGCCACTGATGGTTGGCTCTCAGGCTGCGAAGGTAATAGGGAGGTAACGAAATCAGAGATGATAGCCCTTTGGGTAGGCTTGAAGTTACCATACTGAAGGTTCAATGGGCACTCAAGAGGGGGGGGGGGGGTGAATTGAGTGTTAAGTAATCGTTGGCTAATTTTGCTTCTTTTCGGATTATGTGTGAGGAACCAGTTGTGCTGGTTCCCGTACGCAGCGGAATATAAATAAGCAATAAAGAAGACAACAAATTTAACGAAATAAAACAAAGCAATAAAGAACACAACAAATTTAATGAGGTTCAGCCAACTCAGGCCTACGTCCTCCTATCCTAAGTTCTTTATTAATCTACTCCGAAAAACAAAGACAAAGAACACTCTGCTGTTCCCTACTCCGGGAACCAGCAAACCCCACACTCTACTCCGAGTGTGCTCTCGACTTACACTCGTAAGCCCAATGTGTTTGAACTCACAAACACTCACCCAGCCTTTAACCCCTTTGTTAAAGACTCAATACAAGAATCAAGAACTCCCCTTTGATCTCACTTCTACAAAGCTAATTAAGAGAAAATATTTAAGTACTAGAATGCTCTTGTATATGACTTGATGAATGGGATTAGTGCTTAAGTATATGCTCTCAAATAATTGCTCTTTTTGATTTCTGGAGAGGCACACGAAATATGTGAAATAAGATGAGTTTATATAAGCTTAGATTCCTAAAACCTAGTTTCCTTAAATCACACAATCTTAGAGAATAAGATATAATGTAATTTTAGGAAAGTTTTTATCTTATTTGATTTAATCACAAAGATAGAATCAATTAAGATAAATACTCCTAGATTTTAGGTAACCAAGAATATTTCATCTTATTTCCAGCTGCACAAAATATTTTCAAGATAATCTTTTCGAAAAAATCTTTTTGTAAAATCTTTTTCCAAAACGGCAGCTCGAATACAGTGAACCTGGTTCCCCGACCTGGTTCCCTGAATTGAAACATGTTATGAAACCTGTTCCAACTTTGTACCAGATTTCATATCATACTTCAATATATTTTTAAGCACTTATATAACCCAAACATGCAAGCATACTACGGAGCATATTACATGAAAACCTAGATAACATATTAAAGCATAAATCGTCTTTTCTTCATGTAATCTTCAAGACTTGAATCTTCCTTGAATACTTCTATTATGAGCAAACAATCTTTCTTCGAAATATCTTCGAAAGGCTTCTATGCTCCAAGTCTTGGAATCAACTCAACTACTGCACATGTAACATGGTTAATGCACAATAAAGAGTATGTGACTGCTTTACCACGTAGCAACCATGGAAACAGTACATACTGGTTCCCTACCAGTACATAACACTTTTATCATATAACTGTTCCCTGTATAAAGACAAGTTAGTTCAATAAGAAAACTCATGTAAGTAATAACTTGTCTGGGGAAACAGTGTTCTATGTTAGCTGGTTCCCCTAACTGTATCGAACACCTTCAAGGACCTGTTTCCCTTAGCTGTTTGTCATCATTCAAAACTATCAATCAAAACCTAAGGGACTCAACAAATTCCCCCTTTTTGATGATGACAAACTCTTGAAGTTCCTGAACCTGTGAACATGCTCAAAAGGAAAACCGTCAAAAACTTCAAGGACTCAAGACAAGGACTCAAGACTCTTTGGAAAGGACTCAAGACTCTTTGGAACAAGTCAGTTAGGCCAACTGGTTCCCTAAACAGAAAATAGAAAATACGAAATAAAAAGACTCAAACTGACTCAATCTAAACTAGCTAAACCTTAGGCTTCAACTTCAGACTACTTCCCCCTTTTGGCATCATTAAAAAGTATCCACAAGTAAAAGCAATGTGCACAAGTTAATGTGCTTATCCATACAATGGCATCAACCACCATTCAAGCATTATGCTGCAAAAAGAGATTAGTCAAACAGTTCATACCATAGCAGAGTTAGTAGTTCATACAAGCCAACAAAGTTCAACCAAAGAAGCCCAAATCCATCCAAAAAGAAAGTTCATGGAATGGAGAGAAGTAGACAGACCAACAAAATCAGTTATTTTAGAATAAACATGAGGGTGAGGAAACAAGAACAGAAACAGCATCACTCCTCATCATCATTCTCGTTCCCTTCCTCCTCCTCGAACTTTGCAACATCTTCTGTATTATCATCTGATTCCTCTTCATCCTTGTCACCATGCTCTGCTTAAACCAAAATCATTATATTGCTAAGCATATTCTTGTGATTCCCCAATCTGTTTCAAAACCACTTCCTGACCTGCTGGTTCCTCTATTTTTTTTTTTTTTTTTTTTTTTTTTTTTTTTTTTTTTTTTTTATAAAACATGAGAGATATGTACTGATTCAGAATGTTCTCCTTGTTGCATAACGAGTGCAAAACTGTTCTCCTTGTTGCATAATGAGTGCAAAACTAGCATCACATCAATCAAGCAAAGAGGTTCTTGCTGGTACCCTTTTTCTCTTGGTTCCTGGAACAGCATCAATGGACTGTTCCTCCTGCACCTTCTCAGTGAACTTCTTTAATTGAGTTACTCTACTTCGTACCATGGTCTTAGCAATGGGTGTTTCCTCATAATAACCAACAATCTCTATTTCATCCTCTTCACTCTGAATTTTCTGAATTTCCTCCAACTTCGGGCTTAAGGACACTTATGCTTCCATCTGATGTTCCCCCTGAGACTGAGCTGGTTCCTTGAGTGAACAGTAACCAAATGAACAATGATGAATTTAAAGCATACGAGAGAGAGAAAGAGAATTTCGAGTGATGATGATTGATGATCTGCACAAAGGGTTAGTGTATATTTTTAACAATGAAGCACAAAGAGAGAAGAAGGAAAGAAAAGAGTTAGTTGAGCCAATAAAAAGCAACTGTAAAGGATATTTTTAAATTGAAATCAAAAATTTTGGTAATTATCTTTTACCATAATTATCTCAACCAACTATAAATAAGGCATATGATATGTTTGCCTTTTATATGGGATTAAATAACTGAAATAAGATAAATTCCTTCCAAAAGGAAATATCTTATAGTAATCTTCCGAAAATAAAAGATATTATCGGATGACATATCAGAGCTGGTCTGCTGTTTCCCTTTGCTGGTACCTGTATAGAACCATGTCACGCTGTTTCTGGCAATTCAGCCTGATTTCACCTGTTTCTTACAACAATGATTCTCAATCCTTTTGAGATTTTGAACCATCTACACAACACTTGAAAGATATCAACATAAGTATGTACACACACTATACAAGAGAATACCATTCTAACCAATCATTGAAGGAAGTAATTGAAGCCAATACCTAAAGTCTAACTAGACCTAAAAGGACTCTTAACCTACAAAAAGACTCTCTACACAAAGGCTTTGTGAAGATATCAGCAATTTGATCTTCACTTTTACAAAACAACATCTCCACCAATCCTTTTTCCACATTGTCTCTTAAAAAATGGTGTCTTATTTCAATGTGTTTTGTCTTGGAGTGTTGCACAGGATTCTTTGAAATATTGATTGCACTAGTGTTATCACAGAAAATAGGAACACTTTTATAAATAACACCAAAATCTTTCAGCTGGTTCCTTATCCACAGTAGCTGGGAACAGCATGAAGCTGCAGCTATATATTCAGACTCTGCTGTGGATAGGGCCACTGAATTTTGCTTTTTAGAACCCCATGAAATTAGACAAGAGCCAAGAAAGTGTGCCATACCTGATGTGCTCTTTCTATCAACTAAGAAACCAGCATAATCTGCATCTGTGTATCCAATAAGATCAATGGTACTGCCTTTGGGGTACCACAATCCCAGATTTGCTGTTCCTACAAGATACCTAAGTATCCTTCTAACAGCCTTCAAGTGAGATTCCTTTGGATTGCTTTGAAACCTAGCACACAAACCAACAGAAAACACAATGTCAGGTCTACTAGCTGTTAGGTAAAGTAGAGAACCTATCATTCCTCTATAAAGAGAAGCTTCAACATCTTTTCCCTTAAGATCAGCATCTAATTTTGTAGATGGGGGAACAGGTGTATCATAAGCTTTGCTGTTCTCCATGCCGAATTTTTTCAGCAACTCTTTTAAGTACTTTTGTTGATGGATCATTATTCCATCATCCATTTGCTTAATCTGCAGCCCTAGGAAGAATCCTAGTTCTCCCATCATGCTCATTTCAAATTCACTCTGCATAAGATTAGCAAATTCATCACATAAAACCTGATTAGTAGCACCAAATAAAATATCATCAACATAAATTTGTACTACAATCAAGTGTTTCCCCCTGGTTCTTATGAACAAGGTCTTGTCTATTGTTCCCCTCTTGTAATCATTTGCCATCAAGAAATTGGACAATCTTTCATACCAAGCCCTCGGAGCTTGTTTCAACCCATATAATGCTTTGTCCAACTTGTACACATGTTGGGGGAACAGTGCATCTTCAAAACCAGGTGGCTGCTCCACATATACTTCTTCCTTTAAATATCCATTGAGGAAGGCAGTCTTTACATCCATCTGAAACAGCTTAAAATTCATGTGAGCAGCATAAGCAATTAAAATCCTAATAGCCTCTAGCCTAGCTACTGGTGCAAACGTCTCATCATAGTCAATTCCTTCTTGTTGATTGTACCCTTGCACCACTAGCCTTGCTTTGTTTCTGACTATAGTACCAAGGTCATCTAACTTGTTTCTAAAGACCCATCTAGTGCCAATGACTGATCTTTCCTTGGGACGGGGAACCAGGTGCCAAACCTGGTTCCTCTGAAACTGATTTAACTCATCTTGCATAGCTAGTACCCAATCAGGATTAGTCAATGCCATTTTATAGTCAGTAGGCTCTACATTAGACAAGAAAGAATAGAAAGCACAAAAGTTTTGAAAAACATTTGTTCTCGTTTGAATCCCCTTATTTATATCACTAATTATTTGATCAGTGGGATGAGAAGATTGATATCTATAACTTTTAAAATTAAGACTGTTTTGTGCTTTCTCATTAAGTTGGGAACCAGCATGTTCATGGATCTCTCCTTCTTCTGAGGAGCCAGGAGGATTCACATTCATGCTGTTTCCTCTATCATTA